CAGGAAGGGTGGCTGGAGAAACTTATTTGGAGGCTAGGTGCAGTGAAGTCCTGCAACTGAAGGGAAGAGCCAGGTGTCTTGGTATTTTTGTTATTTGTGTTTGCTGGAGAAGAACCCCTACGTGGGCATTCCATCTGTGCTGGACTTCTACTTTGCTTTAATTTCATTTAATAACAGTGGGCTGCCGAGCCCAAAATTTTAGTTCCCGTCTGACGTGGACTCTTTACAAGCCCATCTACCACAAGAGCTAAACATCCCCATATCACACACTGCATTCTAAAAACTTGGGTCTACATCTCATAACTTCCATGTAAAATCCAAAAAACGAGATTACTCCTTGTGTAGGGCCCCTTCACATGCACCACATACACTCACCGACCACTTTGTAAGGTCCACCTTGCTAGTCCTGGGTTGGACCCCCTTTTGCCTTCATTCTTTGTGGCAAAGATTCAACAAGGTGTTGGAAACATTCCTCAGAGATTTTGGTCCACATTGACATGAGAGCATCATGCAGTTGCTGCAGATTTGTCAGCTGCACATCCATGATGATAATCTCCCGTTCCACCACATCCCAAAGGTGCTCTATTGGATTGAGATCTGGTGACTGTGGAGGCCATTGGAGTTCAGTGACCTCATTGTCATGTTCAAGAAACCAGTTTGAGGTGATTTGAGCTTTTTGACATGGTGCATTATCCTGCTGGAAGGAGCCACCAGAAGATGGGGACACTGGAGTCATAAAGGGATGGACATGGTCAGCAACAACACTCAGGTAGGCCATGGCGTTTAAACATTGCTCAGTTGGTACTAAGGGACCCAAAGTGTGCCAAGAAAATCTCCCCCCCATCATGACACCACCACCCCCAGCCTGAACCGCTGATACAAGGCAGGATGGATACCCCACACCATGACACCACCACCCCCAGCCTGAACCGTTGATACAAGACAGGATGGATCCACCACACCATGACACTATCACCACCAGCCTGAACCTGTGATACAAGGCAGGATGGATCCACCACACCATGACACCACCACTACCAGCCTGAACCGCTGATACAAGGCAGGATGGATACCCCACATCATGACACCACCACCACCAGCCTGAACCATTGATACAAGGCAGGATGGATCCACCACACCATGACACCACCACCCCCAGCCTGAACCATTGATACAAGGCAGGATGGATCCACCACACCATGACACCACCACCACCAGCCTGAACCATTGATACAAGGCAGGATGGATCCATGCTTTCATATTGTTTACACCAAATTCTGACCCTACCATCTGAATGTTGCAGCTGCAGTCCAGACTTATCAGACCAGGCAACGTTCTTCCAATCTTCTATTGTCCAATTTTGGTGATCCTGTGGGAATTGTAGCTTCCATTTCCTGCTCTTAGCTGACAGGAGTGGCACCCGGTGTAGTCTTCTGCTGCTGCTGCCGTAGCTCCATGACCGAGAAGGTTCTGGAGCTACTTTGGGGAATTTGTCGTGCCTAGGGCAGCCCATTCAAGAAGGTTCTGGAGCTACTTTGGGGAATTTGTTGCGCCTAGGGCAACCCATTCAAGAAGGTTCTGGAGCTACTTTGGGGAATTTGTTGCGCCTAGGGCAACCCATTCAAGAATGTTTTGGAGCTACTTTGGGGAATTTGTTGCGCCTAGGGCAGCCCATTCAAGAATGTTGTGGAGCTACTTTGGGGAATTTGTCGCACCTAGGGCAGCCCAATCATGTGAACGAGCAGCCCTAGGCGCAACAACACGTGTTAACGCGCGAACAATTACAAGCGGGTGCGTGCGTTCTCGCTACACTCAGTAGTGAATGGGGCCCAATTGCCGCCATTTGTAACCCAGCCTGAACGTTCCCACGTTCCAAGAACCTAACGGCAGGTTTAGTGGCGTCCACCAAAACCGTCCTTCAGGCATAAAAATGAGTAGGAAGGGAATAGATTGTAAGCTTCTTGGGGCAGGCTCTGATATGAATGATTATGAATGTAAAGATGTCAGAAAAAAACTGCCAAATGTTCCATGACCGAGAAGGTTCTGGAGCTACCTTGGGGAATATGTTGCGCCTAGGGCAGCCCATTCAAGAAGGTTGTGGAGCTGCTTTGGGGAATTTGTTGTGCCTAGAGCAGCCCATTCCAGAAGGTTCTTGAGCTACTTTGGGGAATTTGTTGCGCCTAGGGCAGCCCATTCAAGAAGGTTCTGGAGCTACTTTGGAGAATTTGTCGCACCTAGGGCAGCCCATTCAAGAAGGTTGTGGAGCTATTTTGAGGAATTTGTTGCGCCTAGGGCAACCCATTCAAGAAGGTTCTGAAGCTACTTTGGGGAATTTGTTGCGCCTAGGGCAACCCATTCAAGAAGGTTGTGGAGCTAATTTGGGGAATTTGTTGCGCCCAGGGCAGCCCATTCAAGAAGGTTCTTGAGCTACTTTGGGGAATTTGTTGCGCCTAGGACAGCCCATTCAAGAAGGTTGTGGAGCTACTTTGGGGAATTTGTCGCGCCTAGGGCAGCCCATTCAAGAAGGTTGAGGAGCTACTTTGGGGAATTTGTTGCGCCTAGGGCAGCCCAATCAAGTGAACGAGCAGACCTAGGCGCAACACGTGTTAACGCGCGCGAACAATTACAAGCGGGTGCGTGCGTTTTTGCTACACTCAGGTGTGAATGGGGCCCAATTGCCGCCATTTTTATCCCAGCATGAACGTTCCCACGTTCCAAGAACCTAACGGCAGGTTTAGTGGCGTCCACCAAAACCGTCCTTCAGGCATAAAAATGAGTAGGAAGGGAATAGATTGTAAGCTCCTTGGGGCAGGCTCTGATATGAATGATTGTGAATGTAAAGATGTCAGAAAAAAACTGCCAAATGTTCCATGACCGAGAAGGTTCTGGAGCTACCTTGGGGAATATGTTGCGCCTAGGGCAGCCCATTCAAGAAGGTTCTAGAGCTACTTTGGGGAATTTGTTGTGCCTAGGGCAACCCATTCAAGAATGTTGTGGAGCCACTTTGGGGAATCTGCCGCGCCTAGGGCAGCCCATTCAAGAAGGTTCTGGAGCTACTTTGGGGAATTTGTTGCGCATAGGGTAGCCCATTCAAGAAGGTTCTGGAGCTACTTTGGGGAATTTGTTGCGCCTAGGGCAGCCCATTCAAGAAGGTTCTTGAGCTACTTTGGTGAATTTGTTGCGCCTAGGGCAACCCATTCAACAAGGTTCTTGAGCTACTTTGGGGAATTTGTTGTGCCTAGGGCAACCCATTCAAGAATGTTGTGGAGCTACTTTGGGGAATTTGTCGCGCCTGGGGCAACCCATTCAAGAATGTTGTGGAGCTACTTTTGGGAATTTGTTGCGCTTAGGGCAGCCCATTCAAGAAGGTTCTGGAGCTGCTTTGGGGAATTTGTTGCGCCTAGGGCAGCCCATTCAAGAAGGTTCTGGAGCTGCTTTGGGGAATTTGTTGCGCCTAGGGCAGCCCATACAAGAAGGTTCTGGAGCTACTTTGGGGAATTTGTTGCGCCTAGGGCAGCCCAATCATGTGAACGAGCAGCCCTAGGCGCAACACGTTTTTTAACGCGCGAACAAATTACAAGCGGGTGTGTGCGTTCTCGCTACAATCAGGTGTGAATGGGGCCCAATTGCCACCATTTGTAACCCAGCCTGAACGTTCCCACGTTCCAAGAACCTAACGGCAGGTTTAGTGGCGTCCACCAAAACCGTCTTTCAGGCATAAACATGAGTAGGAAGGGAATAGATTGTAAGGGAAACAAATATTAATGAATGGCGTCCTGCGTGGGGCGCCGGCCCGCATACTAACACACACAACCGTGTTCAGCTGACTTGGCGCCTCGGCGTGCGTTCCGCGTTCTTGTGTAAGCCCAGATGCAGCGGAGTCTGCGGATGGTGGAGGTCTCCCTCGGTGCGATGGTGTGCGCTTCCTCCGTACAGTAAATTACGCTGATTACATGACCTTGACAGAAAATTGTTTTAGATTTGAGCCAAGGATTACCGTCGCCCTGCGCTGGGGACATTCGAACCAGACTGTTTACACAGCTGCAGAGAAATGCCGCGCGGATATACAGCAGCGAGCGCCGATTCCCTCCCAGCGCTGAGCCCCGCGGGAGCTTTCTACACCCTGATCGCCGGGAGACAAGTCCGTGTGGCTGGCAGCCATGTTGTATGCTGGCCAACGCTGAGGAAGGAGCAGATTTAAAGTGCAACTCCGTCCTTCCACTGCCGAGAGTAGGAAAAAAAATATCTCAGATGCATTACACATTTATATGTTTGATTGCTGGAAGAAGAATTCCAGGTATGGATATCTTTACATAGAGACTGTGGACATAGTACAGGAGATGGTCAGAGACTGCAGACATGATATAGGAGATGGTCAGAGACTGCAGACACGATACAGGAGATGCTCAGAGACTGCGGACATGATACAGGAGATGCTCAGAGACTGCAGACAGGATACAAGAAATGGTCAGAGACTGCAAACATGATACAAGAGATGGTCAGAGACTGTGGACATGATACAGTAGATGGTCAGAGACTGCAGACAGGATACAAGAAATGGTCAGAGACTGCAAACATGATACAAGAGATGGTCAGAGACTGTGGACATGATACAGGAGATGGTCAGAGACTGCAGACAGGATACAAGAAATGGTCAGAGACTGCAAACATGATACAAGAGATGGTCAGAGACTGTGGACATGATACAGTAGATGGTCAGAGACTGCAGACATACTACAGTAGATGGTCAGAGACTGCAGACATACTACAGGAGATGGTCAGAGACTGCAGACATGATACAGTAGATGGTCAGAGACTGCGGACATGGCACAAGAGATGGTCAGAGACTGCAGACATGATACAGGAGATGGTCAGTGACTGCAGACATACTACAGGAGATGGTCAGAGACTGCAGACATACTACAGGAGTTGGTCAGAGACTGCAGACATGATACAGGAGATGGTCAGTGACTGCAGACATACTACAGGAGATGGTCAGAGACTGCAGACATGATACAGGAGATGGTCAGAGACTGCAGACATAGTACAGGAGATGGTCAGAGACTGCAGACATGATACAGGAGATGGTCAGAGACTGCAGACATGGTACAGGAGATGGTCAGAGACTGCAGACATGGTACAGGAGATGGTCAGAGACTGCGGACATGGTACAGGAGATGGTCAGAGACTGCGGACACGGTACAGGAGATGACCAGAGACTGCGGACATGGTACAGGAGATAATCAGAGATTGCAGACAGGATACAGGAGATGGTCAGAGACTGCGGACATGGTACAGGAGATGGTCAGAGACTGCAGACATACTACAGGAGATGACAAGAGACTGCAGACATGATATAGGAGATGGTCAGAGACTGCAGGCATAGTACAGGAGATGGTCAGGGACTGCAGACATGATATAGGAGATGGTCAGAGACTGCAGACATGATACAGGAGATGGTCAGAGACTGCAGACATGATACAAGAGATGGTCAGAGAATGTAGACATGGTACAGGAGATGGTCAGAGACTGCAGACATGATACAGGAGATGGTCAGAGACTGCAGACATAGTACAGGGGATGACCAGAGACTGCAGACATGGTAAAGGAGATGGTCAGAGACTGCAGACATGATACAGGAGATGGTCAGAGACTGCAGACATGATACAGGAGATGGTCAGAGACTGCAGACATGATACAAGAGATGTTCAGAGACTGCAGACAGGATACAAGAGATGGTCAGAGACTGCAGACATGATATAGGGATGGTCAGAGACTGCAGACATGATACAGGAGATGGTCAGAGACTGCAGACATGATACAGGAGATGGTCAGAGACTGCAGACAGGATACAAGAGATGGTCAGAGACTGCGGATGTGATAAGAGATGGTCAGAGACTGCAGACATGATACAAGAGATGTTCATAGACTGCAGACATCCAGCAGGAAATGGTTACAGACTTTGGACATGACACAAGGGATGGTCAGAGATCAAAAGTAAAAGAATAAATAAATAAAGGAAAAGAATAGAAAATATTTGAATAGAATAGAAAAAAATAGAACAAAATACAATAGAAAGAATTTAGCTGTCTTCCAAAATTCTAATTTCTAAAAGATTAGAATAGAATAAAACAGAACAGAATAGAACAGAAAATAAAAAATAGAATAGAGACTAAAGGACTAGAATAGAAAAAAATATATAATAGATTAGAATAGAATAGCATAAAATAGAATATAATCGTCTTCCGAAATGCGAATTTGGAATAGAATAGAACCGGCCATTCCTCTCAATGAATTCGGATTGATTTGATATATTCGCTTCGAATTCGATTCAAATACGAATCAGATACTTCAAATCCATTGGAAGAATTTGCATCCGGTCTAAAGCAATCAAAGAAAATGCAACTCATTTCTTTCCGAATGCAACGACACTAAACTTAACGAATCGTTCTGAAACGCATTTTTCCGTTCGGCGCGTGTCTAGAGCAATGTGTGTGTGATGTCATCTCATCTCCGGGAAAAGCAAATATCTAAATCCATTCCTCGTGTGTCTTCTTCCTGCATCTCGGTGATCTCTGTGCGTTTCTTCCAGATCTGTGCCGCCATCCAGTGTGAGACTTCCTGGAATAAAGACCGCTCACTGCTGACCCCTCTCCCTATGTGGGGGGGGGGGGGCTGGTCTGGTCTCCGCCCCCTCCTGTAGTTTTTTTGTAGTGGGTGGAGCCTGCTGGGTTCCTCCTGCTCTGCTGTCTCTTCCTGTGCATGGTGACTGGTCTGGTCTCTGCCCCCTGAGGGGCGGACTGACAACTCATGGGGCCCCCGGGCAATAGGGGATCATGGGGCCCTTGTGTCCTTGCCCAAACTCAAAAAAGCCTATGAAAAAGGTACCAGGGGCATCTCATAGGGCCCCCTACTGATCCCGGGCCCTTGGGCAGTGCCCGAGTTTCCAAATAGTCAGTCTGCCCCTGCGCCCCCTCCTGTAGTTTTCTGTAGTGGGTGGAGCCTGCTGGGTTCCTCCTGCTCTGCTGTCTCTCCCTGTGCAGGGGTAGTGGTCTGGTCTCCGCCCCCTCCTGTAGTTTTCTGCAGTGGGTGGAGCTTGCTAGTTTCCTCCCGCTCTGCTGTCTCTCCCTGTGCAGGGGTACTGGTCTGGTCTCCGCCCCCTCCTGTAGTTTTCTGCAGTGGGTGGAGCTTGCTGGGTTCCTCCCGCTCTGCTGTCTCTCCCTGTGCAGGGGTACTGGTCTGGTCTCCGCCCCCTCCTGTAGTTTTCTGCAGTGGGTGGAGCTTGCTGGGTTCCTCCCGCTCTGCTGTCTCTCCCCGTGCAGGGGTACTGGTCTGGTCTCCGCCCCCTCCTGTAGTTTTCTGCAGTGGGTGGAGCTTGCTGGGTTCCTCCCGCTCTGCTGTCTCTCCCCATGCAGGGGTACTGGTCTGGTCTCCGCCCCCTCCTGTAGTTTTCTGCAGTGGGTGGAGCTTGCTGGGTTCCTCCCGCTCTGCTGTCTCTCCCCGTGCAGGGGTACTGGTCTGGTCTCCGCCCCCTCCTGTAGTTTTCTGTAGTGGGTGGAGCCTGCTGGGTCCCTCCCGCTCTGCTGTCTCTCCCTGTGCAGGGGTACTGGTCTGGTCTCCGCCCCCTCCTGTAGTTTTCTGTAGTGGGTGGAGCCTGCTGGGCCCCTCCTAGTAATCCTTGACCTGCCATTGTTGAGGACTCTTGGCACTGGATGGCCGCCATGTCAGCTCCCAGCCCGCTGTCCTCGTCCGTGCGCTCACTCCCCAGGCTCCTCGGCCGCAGTCATTGGATGGCTGATTCCTGTGTGGAGTTCCTGCGGCTTCCAGCGACGCCGTGAAAGCAGAAATTACATTTTACGAGGCGGCCTTCTTCCCGTTTCCAGCAGATTGAAAAGGTTTCCATGGCGACGGAATACAAGAGGAGGCCAGCCATCATTCAGCGCGGACCCCCATCTCTGCGTTTTATTGGTGTGTGGGAGTCCCCGGGCCCCGGAACGCCAACACGCCGGAATGGTTTTCAGGTTTCCCCGGCCACAAGGATGCGGGGGGCCAGTCACCCGACAAACAGGAGCTGGAGGAGAAAAGTCAATTCACTTTCCAGCACTCGCCATCTGTCATGTGTCGGGGGTGGGGGGGACTAACAGGGCTCACGTCTCTGCTGTGGGGTCACATTAAAGGGGAACTCCTCTCTTTACAGGAGAGCGAAGCGCGACTACTCTGAGGTCACTTCCTGTGGGCAAAAGAAGGACATTTACAGTTGATGTAGAACTTGATTGAAGGACATTTTGTTTGCAACGGATTCATTCTGACGAGCGCTGACACCAGTCCTGCATGCAGGGTGCCTTTTTATTGCGCCTGCACTCTGCACTCTGGCCTGTCTCTGCACTCTGGCCTGTCTCTGTACTCTGGCCTGTCTCTGTACTCTGGCCCGTCTCTGTACTCTGGCCCGTCCCTGTACTCTGGCCCGTCCCTGTACTCTGGCCCGTCCCTGTACTCTGGCCCGTCTCTGTACTCTGGCCCGTCTCTGTACTCTGGCCCGTCTCTGTACTCTGGCCCGTCTCTGTACTCTGGCCCGTCTCTGTACTCTGGCCCGTCCCTGTACTCTGGCCCGTCCCTGTACTCTGGCCCGTCCCTGTACTCTGGCCCGTCTCTGCTCTCTGGCCTGTCTCTGCACTCTGGCCCGTCCCTGTACTCTGGCCCGTCCCTGTACTCTGGCCCGTCCCTGTACTCTGGCCCGTCCCTGTACTCTGGCCCGTCTCTGTACTCTGGCCCGTCTCTGTACTCTGGCCCGTCTCTGTACTCTGGCCCGTCTCTGTACTCTGGCCTGTCTCTGTACTCTGGCCCGTCCCTGCACTCTGGCCCGTCCCTGCACTCTGGCCCGTCTCTGCACTGTGCCTGTCTCTGCACTGTGCCTGTCTCTGCACTCTGGCCGTCCCTGCACTCTGGCCCGTCTCTGCACTCTGGCCCGTCTCTGCACTCTGGCCCGTCTCTGCACTCTGGCCCGTCTCTGCACTCTGGCCCGTCTCTGCACTCTGGCCCGTCTCTGCACTCTGGCCCGTCTCTGCACTCTGGCCCGTCTCTGCACTCTGGCCCGTCTCTGCACTCTGGCCCGTCTCTGCACTCTGGCCCGTCTCTGCACTCTGGCCCGTCTCTGCACTCTGGCCCGTCTCTGCACTCTGGCCCGTCTCTGCACTCTGGCCCGTCCTTGCTCTCTGGCCCGTCTCTGCTCTCTGGCCCGTCTCTGCTCTCTGGCCCGTCCCTGCACTCTGGCCCGTCCCTGCTCTCTGGCCCGTCCCTGCTCTCTGGCCCGTCTCTGCACTCTGGCCCGTCTCTGCTCTCTGGCCCGTCTCTGCACTCTGGCCCGTCTCTGCACTCTGGCCCGTCTCTGCACTCTGGCCCGTCTCTGCTCTCTGGCCCGTCTCTGCACTCTGGCCCGTCCCTGCACTCTGGCCCGTCTCTGCACTCTGGCCCGTCTCTGCACTCTGGCCCGTCTCTGCTCTCTGGCCCGTCTCTGCTCTCTGGCCCGTCTCTGCTCTCTGGCCCGTCCCTGCACTCTGGCCCGTCCCTGCTCTCTGGCCCGTCTCTGCTCTCTGGCCCGTCCCTGCACTCTGGCCCGTCCCTGCTCTCTGGCCCGTCTCTGCTCTCTGGCCCGTCCTTGCTCTCTGGACCGTCTCTGCACTCTGGCCCGTCTCTGCTCTCTGGCCCGTCTCTGCACTCTGGCCCGTCTCTGCTCTCTGGCCCGTCTCTGCACTCTGGCCCGTCTCTGCACTCTGGCCCGTCTCTGCACTCTGGCCCGTCTCTGCACTCTGGCCCGTCTCTGCTCTCTGGCCCGTCTCTGCTCTCTGCCCATATCTGTACAGGGTGACAATACAGGAACACAATTAGGGGACAGTTGTCACCCCATAGAAGGAAATGCCTGAACACGCACCTTCATGGCAGGACCACCAGAGATTCTGGTAATGAAAGCTGCAGATAAAAATAAAAAGGAAAAGAGCGATTGAAATGACAGGAACATGTCGGAGCGGGTATGCGATTTTAGTGGAAGGGTTTATCTGACAACTCATGGGGCCCCCGGGCAATGGGGGATCATGGGGCCCCTGTGTCCTCGCCCACACCTAAAAAAGCCTATGAAAGGTACCAGGGGCATCTCATGGGGCCCCCTACTGACCCCAGGCCCTTGGGCAGTGCCCGAATGGTCAGTCCGCCCCTGATCTGCACAAAGGTAAAGGATGCGATTTACTATTCATGAGTCGATCTCACCTGCTGACTTGTAGAGTGAATGGATGAGAGGAAATAATGCGAAGTCGGCTGATTGAATTCTCCGAATCTCACGGGGGGGGGGGGGGGGGGGGGGGGGGGGGGGGGGGGGGGGGGGGGTCACGTATGACAGAGCGCCTCTTCGATCTGAAGTCTGATTGGATTTATCTCATGGGAGGGAAATCCACCGCCGACATAGAAAGAACCGGCCCCGCGTTTACCAAGACGCAGCTTTCATCTTTTTTGCACGTTCTCGTTTAACGGTGCAGAAAATTCGAGCAAAGACTCATCAGTGAAGGCAGACTCGGTGATAGATGGAGGAGCCGATACGGTGATCGATTCTCATTTCCTCCAACCTCACACGCTCCAGCAGCTTGATTGGATCGATCTAAAAATATGAGCGGTCACCTTTCTTTCGTTTTA